TCGGCGCATGGTCTAAAAGGGTTGAGTTTATTTTCTTAATGAGTTATGGGTGTGTTTTAAGAATAAACCAAATACAGTCTCATCTCCCATTCCCTTTAAGAGTCAGGTGCGTCGCGCCAAGAGCGCATTCGCTATTTACAGGACGCAAAGTAAGTCTAAGTGGAAAAAAATGAGCATTTCACAAGCAGAAAACTGTTAAACAGAGCATCTACTGCGTTAAAATGAGAGATAATGGAACTACTTTCACATTCGCTCTTGGATAGGGAAACCTTTACGCACAGACATCAATTAGTCTAAAAATAAATACTTTTGTTTGTTAAGCGCAAATATTTGTTTCAAAACTATTTCTAAATTCAGTTCTAATTTCCAGCAAACTAATAAATGAACAATAATAATAAAATGTGCTCTAAAACCTGAGTTATATCCTAAAACACATGCTTTGCCCCATATGGTCTAAAACCTGGCAGGTGGGCAAATCTAAGCTTGTTTTTAATGAAACAAATATAAATATGGATATAATAAATAATACTGCTAATAATAATAACATTATACAAAAGCAAATTGTTATGAATGAACTGAAAAAGCCTCCCGAGATGTAGAAGACATAAAAGAAGTTGTTTTTCATATTTATGTAGGCTAGAAAATAATGTTTTGTAATATTTTAATCCTTTATATTTATATCCTATATCTATTCTTATTATATCCTATATATATCCTTAATATTTACATTTTTTCATATGTAAAGATATTTGCCTACTGCTCTCTTGTGCGTATTAAGCAGTGCGTAAGCGTGGCGCAACTCTGCACTGGAGTTTAGACCGGGTTAGTTTTGGTCTAATGAAAAATCTATTATAGTTTCTCAAAATAGCAACGCGCCAGCGGTCCGCCTCAGAACGCCTTCCTTTTAAGACGAGAACGCCTATGGGAGCACAAATAAGCTCTAATGCATTTGCTATTTAAACAGCGTAGCGCAAAGCCTCAAAACGACTCTTGCGCCAAGCTGAAACTAACAAAAGACTACTGCGTCACGCCTTGCGCCACACTGCGCCGGGTGTATGATAGGGTCCTATGTCTGTCTGTGCAACTAACTTGTCTATATGTCTGTCTGTCTGTCTGTCTGTCTTTCTGTCCATTTATCTTGTCTGTCTGTCTGTCCGTCTGTATGTCTGTTTATCTGTCTGTCTGTGCATCTATCTTGTCTATATGTCTGTCTGTCTGTTTATCTGTCTGTCTGTGCATCTATCTTGTCTATATGTCTATCTATCTATCTATCTATCTATCTGTCTGTCTGTCTGTCTGTACGTCTATCCGTCGGTCAGTTTGTCTGTCTGTCTGTCTGTATGTCCATCTATCTTGTCTAAATGTCTGTCTGTCTATCCGTCTGTCTGTCTGTCTGTCTAGAAACCTTTTCAATCTTGTCCTTAATGAGCTAATATTCATAATGAAAAAAATTGCCACATTTCAGAATTTCCATTACCAATCTAAGCCAATAGTTTGTTTTGGGTTTGGATTGTTTGTGTGTACTTTATTGCACAGACAGGTAGAATATAGAAAAACACATTATCTGCCTTTTTCCTTTTTTTTTAAACCCAAGTTTAGAAACTAGAACTAATCCAGCATTACATACTCACACCCAGCCACAAACCTCTTTTGAGGAATGAGAATCAAATGAGAAATCGATACAGACTCATTTACAGTTTTTTTTTAATGGCTTTGGTGCATTTCTCATAAAACTATTTACATTTGCACAACAGTTCATACATTTCTCAACACAATTAGCCATTTGTGCACATCATAGTAGCAGTTTTTCATTCCGTCCAACAAATTGCAAAGCTTTTGGACATGCATCAATTGCTTTCATACAACTCTCTGCTGTTTTATAGCATTATCATTTGCTTATGTCATGTCAGTCAAAATTAACTAAACTTGTGAATGCTAAACAGTCATTCCATATATAACTAATAGTTATTTCATTACTTGAGTCATTACATACAAAAATGTTGAACTAGTTATCAAAATATGTCAAGAAAACTTGAATAAAAAAAAAATATATATCTTTTTTTTTTCCTGAAAATGTCTTCTAAATTGAATCATTTCATGAATAATTTACAGACCTTTGTGTGTTGTGAGTTCAGTTTCAATATTGTTTACAATTCTGCACAGCTCTACCCAAAGGAAGTTTAAGGGAAGTTTAAATAAGGGTGTATTTATTCTTTTGCACAATGCTGGAATAAATTCGATTTGCAAAGAGCAAATGCAGTAAAAATGTGAAACATACATATTCAGTGTCTTGTACTCAGATACCTCACTAAATGCAGTGATGTCCAACTTTACTGTAGTTTTCAAGTGGCTGTGCAAATAGTATATAGTGCTGTCTTGATCATTTTCAGAAACCAAAATCTGACTTTTTTTTGCATTGAAAAGAATGTACAGAGTAAACTATCATAAAGAAATCATTCCAAAGCCATTTGACTATCTTGTTCATAAACAATGGTGTCAG